TCTATTGCGTTCTGCGCATGCGCAGTCACGACCCGCAATTTCCTTGCGTACGCAAAGCTATAACGTACGGTCCACTAAAACTGTCTATTGTCGAACACAGACCGGCTACGAAGGCTATAGCTGCATTGGAAATATTTCTTCAAAATACAGGGCTCAGTGATCGTCTATAATACTATTTCCATTCTAAATACACTTTCGTGTTCATAACTTTCAATACGCGACAACTGATTTAACGTAGACTGCCATGACTGTATTACACTACACTCAAGTGTGCTGAGTGAATAACTCTCCAGTGCTGTGCGCCATCAAGATCTACATCCAAATCGTGCTTCATTGAGTGCTCCCTCCAGAACTAAAACTCTCTCTCCCCCTTTCTTCCCACTTCCCTCTCCCAAAGCAAAGTAGCCAGCCCCGGAAGTTTCAGGGCTAACCTCTTTGTTTTTACTTCCGTTATTAAAAAAAAAAAAAAAGAGACAGAAGAAAAGGGATGAGAACATTCCGAAGGCAGAAAGGACAATGCGTTTAAGGAAGAGAAATTCCGAATTAAGTTTAAAGAAAAACAAAACGTAAATCAAGTGTAAAGAATTAAAAAATCTAAGCGTAAGGAAAAGAAAACCGGAATCAAGGATTAGCAGAAAAGGAAAACGAGGCATCATTAAATGTTATATTTTTTTCTCTTTGTTTTTTCCATGTTCAGCTGGCCCCATTCACAGGCCATAGCTGTGTGCCCGACTGCTCAGCGCGTGCTGATGGCGAGCTTCCACAGTTTCCTTGCAAGGTGCATTCGACACCATCAAGATTTCTGGTCTTAGCAACCTATTAACGTGACCTCGTTTTGAGCATGCGCTCTAAACAGCACCCACAAATATGGCGTCCATTGAATGCTCTCTATTTACGACATTTCTTTTTTTAAGATTGACACTGAAACAAAAAAGAAGAAAAAAGAATGTTATCGACGACAGTGCTAAAAGCGCGAGCTAGTTGCTTTGTATCACGTGACACGAGCTCCTGCAGCGGGTGCAGTCATGCCAGTCAAGGCTAGAGCCACTAAATAAGCGTAGCTTATTTAGTGGCACTAGTCAAGGCTACTCGCTCGCCGCTTGCACGGCCTTCGCAGCTATTCTATGCAAAGGTGATAACACGTCGTATTAGACACAAGTAGAGCTCCAGAAAAATGCGTACAAAATTACTGCGGCTAGGCTCTGTCGCCTCTGGTACAGGTAATCTTCATTTGCAACAGGAGTGACGGACGGCACCGGGCAAAGTCTGAAAATGGAGAACGCTTATTTTGATGTTCCTGAGAACGCGACGAGTACAGGCGGCAACGCAGACAACACGCACCAGCGCGGACACCGCCGAGCCGCCGAGCACCCGGCCATACACACGCTGAGCGACCTACATTTCAAAATTCAGTTAGTCGCATCCAAAGAAAACGTGTTGTTGATGTCAAAATAACTAAGACGTCAAAATAAAAACTGTTATTTTGACGTCCGTGGCGTCATTGGCCACGCCCCTTGGATATCCAATCTGTGCCGAAAATGCGCAGCCGTAAACAGAATGCCATGGGGGCAGCCATTTTGAAGAGAAAATCAATGAAAACGAAGTAGAAAAAGTGGTTAGTTACCCCATTCGTTGTGAGAGGCCGTTTTTACGAGTTTAAATAATTGTTTGAGGAACTTTCGCTTTTTTTAAATTTTGGTTGTCAATATAATTTATATTGTGTGAATAATATATTATGATATAAGTTCTACAATGTAATTACCACAGGCTTATTCTACAGTGGGCAAATTGTGTATAGACCAGTGTCCGCGCCAATTGCAGGGCGCCGCCATGTTTAACTACACTCGCGCCACCACACGGAAAGAACCGGCAGGCAGGAGAGGGGGGGGGGGGGGGGGCTGCGTTGGAGGCGTTGCTTTGGTGAGCTGGATGCGGTAGGCTGTCCGAAGGCACCGACACATCGTGAAGGAAGTCTTCACGAGAAGCCTCCGCGGCCCGTTCTTCAACAGATAAGATGTCGTGAACATTCGAGAACCCATCTCGATCAAGAAAACAAGGGAAAAGCTTTCTTGTCTTAGATGTTCTCGGTGTCTGCTGACCCTTGACATCCGCGTTTCAGTCCGGGTTCATTGCGTCGTAAATATCTCGCTACCGCTTTCTTGTAGCTTTCAAATTCTTGATTGTTGGCTCCTTGTATACGACACTGCATTCGTGGCACGTTTGAGACCGATTTCCGCGATCTACTTGCCTTTCTGCGGCAGCGCGGCTCTGCCGAGCCGAAATAAGTGGGAGGAGTTCACTTGATCGAACGACGTTTTAGCGAATGAAAACAAGACCACGACGTTGCATCGAATGACTAGCGAATGGCGCCGTTCATATTAGCGAATTATAGTTACATAAACAGCTCGGATTAGCTTCCTTTTGTAATGTGCCGCCTTGTGTGCCGCCGCGAAGCGGCGTAAACGAAGGCTCCGAATATGTTAACACGCGTCCCCCCGTCCCCTTTCCCTTTCCCCCCCCCCCCCCCCCCCCACACACACACACACACACGCTGCCAGAGTCTGGGTTCGGAACTATTAATTGCCAGTTCCAAAGGATGGTACTTACTTGAACTGGGAGCTGGAATTCTACGAAATACCAGGAGACACTTACTATCGGGCAACGAAGCAGGGTGCCTGTGGGGGCGGAATCTAGGATTGCTATACGGATTAATATTGTGACAGGCGATCAATTATAATAGCAGACGAAACTTCGACTCGTTTGTTCAGAAGTTCGCGGTGATATTTTATTAGCTCTCGTTACAGCACACCAAAGATCTTAGGCAGTGAAATTCACATCACGCAGGCTCGTGCGTCGTAGTCAAATGAGCGCAGTCGACGACGAGGTGTAATGAGCTACTAAGCTTCACAAGGAAAATGCCCGCGAGAAAGAGTTTTGCGGCAGTCCAAAACACCGATCCAGCAGAAGCACGTACGTACGTTTACTCCGGACTCCATGAACCCGACGGCGCAAGATCAAAGCGATCAAAGAGCACCGCCGCCATCGCCACCCGGTTTTTTCTGCACTTTGCGCGACGACGGCACTGCAAGGAGGGCACTCGCCTCGGCATTAACAATCCGCGAAAAAGATTAATTTCCCACTCTTGAAGCCATTCCAAATGATAAATGAAAATACCTCGGCGTTGTAGAGCATCTGACAACACAATGGTGCCGAGCGCCTGCTCGGCATCGTCGTTGCTCGTGAAGGCCTGCTTATTTGTAGTTGAGACGATGATTCCACATCTTTCGTGCCACTCGTGGAGCTTGCAATAACTTCGAAGGGCAGGGGAATTTTCTCACGAGGACCTTGAAGACTCGCAACACCGGAGCCACCAAAACAATCGTACAAACCGTCGCCATGTTTGCTTTTTCTTCGCCACACGCGGCGCGGTGAAATCGTCGCGAGATGTTTTCTGGCTCGGCTAGATGGAAACCAACAGCGGCAAAGTGGCATATAGACAAACGACTCCCACATTGCGGGCACTATACTCACATACCGCGGTAAACAGGACCGATGCCGGCGAAGTGGCAATCGGCACACCAGCGGAGAAGCCCACGGCGGGAAGCAGCCGTGGGCTTCTCATACTCATTTTCACAGTAAGACCGGTATGCACAGTTTTTACAGTTTTACAGTAAGACCAGTATGCACAGTTTCAGTTTGTTCAGTTCAACCAGTAGCAATAAGCTTTTTTGAACTGGCCCAGTTTGCAAAATTTCTCAATAGGGATAGTAATAGTAAAACTCTAAAAACGGTGTTTAACGGTACCTCCCGGCACAGTTATCACATACACGTTATTGTCTTTATCAATATTTTCTTTCATAAATCAGCAGATATAATGTTGAACCGACTAGTGTGGTGGAACGTCCGTTGTAGCCAATAACAGATAACCAACACCAAAACCAATCCTTGCATTTTACATAAGAGACGAAGCGAATAAAAATTACGGGAATACGAATACGATAATCATCCATATTTCTATCAGCGAGGGCACAAACTTCACCTGAGGGAGTTATCTCTGGTTGGTAGTCATAGTGATGCGCGAGAAAGTGGACGCGCAGGTTTTGTTAATAAAGAGTGCACCCATCTCTCGAGTAAATTTGGCAAAACAAATATATCTTGAAAAATGCATAGGAATACGAAACAATATACTGCAAACAAGTTTGTATGCGATCCTAGGCTTTAGGTAAAAAAGAGCTGCTACGTTCATGGTGCCCAATGTTAGCTTCGGGATCCTAAAACACAACGTTGGATCGATCACTTTCTTTCGGGAGGTAATAAATGCTCCGAGAAGCCTGGACATCGAAAGTAAAAAGATATACTTCTAGAGATCATATTTCATATTTGAGAATTTTTTTGCCTACGTTTTTTATTTATGCGTAGTTGTAGCAGATTGAATTTGATCATGTCCCGTGACGTGCTTACGCGGCGGCATAAGCAGCTATAGGGATAAAAATGTCCTGGTAGCTACGAATATCGTGTTCCAATCGTCCAAAATATTGTGTCCTCGTCTATTCAAAAAAAAAAAAAAAAAAGATACGTAATCGTTTAGGTTTTTCAGAAAGCCATCGAAAAAGGTGGCGCCGAACAACTGGAGTAAGATGTCAATCTCAATCAATCTCCTAAAGCAAATGTGTCTCTGCGGGCGTCTAAGTTATGTTACAATAAGCTATGAATATCCCATAGACGTCGCTCGAGCCGTCTGGTTTGAGTCGAGTTGCGTCCATAAAAAGGGCACCGAGTTACATCAAAAGTCACTGTGATGATGCTATCGAGAGCTGGAAAAGTGCAGGGATATTTTCACGGGGTTAAAAAACTAAAGAATAGTTACATCGAATTTAAGGGAGTGCTTAGTTTAGGGCCAGTTTGCAAGTTCCATAAGGCAATCTGCTCGTTGAAACCGTAACACGGGCGTATCGGTAAACTCGAGATGTGTGGTGAGTAAAATGAGATCAAAAGCGTTGTTAGAATCGGAAACGTTATTTATTCCCGCGTTTTCATCTGGATTTCAACCGTAGAAGCTTCCGTGTCCGGTGTACGACCGGATCCGCTGTACAGTCCTCCATGGCTCAGACTGCTTCCGTATCCGAGCCCGTAGCTGCCGTTACCGCCGGCTACGCAGCCGCCGTAGCCGCCGTGGCGGGCGTGGCCGCTGTTGCCGCTGTAGCCGGCGTAGCCGCCCTAGCCCTCCTAGCTGGCGTAGCCGCCGTAGCCTTCGTAGCCGGCGTGGCCTTCGTAGCCGGCGTGGCCTTCGTAGCCGGCGTGGCCTTCGTAGCCGGCGTGGCCTTCGTAGCTGGCGTGGCCTTCGTAGCCGGCGTATCCGCCCTAGCCCTCCTAGCTGGCGTAGCCGCCGTAGCCGGTGTAGCCGCCGTAGCTGGCGTAGCCGCCGTAGCCTTCGTAGCCGGCGTGGCCTTCGTTGCCGGCGTGGCCTTTGTAGCCGGCGTGGCCTTCGTAGCTGGCGTGGCCTTCGTAGCCGCTGTAGCCGGCGTAGCCGCCCTAGCCCTCCTAGCTGGCGTAGCCGCCGTAGCCGGTGTTGCCGCCGTAGCCGGTGTAGCCGCCGTAGCCGGTGTAGCCGCGGTAGCCGGCGTAGCCGCCGTAGCCGGTGTAGCCGCCGTAGCCGGCGTAGCCGCCGTAGCCGGGGTAGCCGCCGTGGCCGGCGTAGCCGCCGTTGCCGGCGTAGCCGCCGTTGCCGGCGTGGCCTTCGTAGCCGGCGTGGCCTTCGTAGCCGGCGTGGCCTTCGTAGCCGGCGTGGCCTTCGTAGCTGGCGTGGCCTTCGTAGCTGGCGTGGCCTTCGTAGCCGGCGTGGCCTTCGTAGCTGGCGTGGCCTTCGTAGCCGGCGTGGCCTTCGTTGCCGGCGTGGCCGCTGTGGCCGCCCTAGCCGCCCTTCCGGAGCCTCCGAGCAGGCCGGCAAGGGTGCCAGCAACAGCCAGGATGAGGATAGTCAGACGAAGCTGCAGGCGAATTTTGTGATGAGTTTAACAAGTTGCAATGCGACATTTTTAAACCGATATTCAAGTCTACATATTTGCCTACAGTGGCCGTTATTTGGTTTCGTATACGATTTAAAAAAAAAATGTTCGGGCGAATATTGCCGCGCGAAGGGCCGAACAAGCAGCGCTCGGTCACAGAATTCTCGAAGACTCGCGTTTCTTTTTACTCGAGGAGTAACTTTTATCATTTCGTCCTAGTTTCTTGTTCTCGAAAATACCTGTACATTCTCAATCCGAACGCCCGGTGCTCAAACCTTCTGGGCCGAATTTTTGCGATGCCGACGCACACTACATAAGGAGCTGCCAGTGAGCTTGTAGAGTCAGTCTCACTCTCGCTTCCTGTTAAGCTGCCAAATCGCCGCCCGCTTTTGTGCTGTCTCGACTCTCGTTCTTTGTTTTGTTTGGCACAAGTTTGCCGATTAAACCTTTCTTTTCAGTTCATTATTTATCGCCTCTTCGCCTTAATCTTGTTTAACATGCAGCGACTGTGCGAAAACAATCGGTGATACAGCCGACGCAGCAAGTGCGATCGCAATTTTTGGTTTCACATGCTCCAACAACCGCGCGATTTCTGTCGGCGCGGCCGGCTCTTCTAGTTGCAGCGGGCACGGACGCGACGCGTTTGACTTCGCCTAAAATACAGCACAAAAGTCGTAATAAACACAAATGTTGTACGAATAAAACATATAACTAGAAATGTTTAATAATTCAACATTAAACCAAAAGCTTTTAGGTGTCTAAATTTATTTTCGAATACGCAGCTATCGCGGATGAAAGCTGGCTAATGAACTGCTGGTTGACCAGAAAGCGATCGCACCAACTCTGCATCAAAATACCAACATGGTGGAAACCAGTCGCAGAGCCGCTGCGACAGTGCGAGTGCGATTTTAATCCCACATTTACTTCAAATCGCACCGATTTCGAACGAGACTCAGAGCACGTGAAACAGCCTTTACTTCGTGACAATATTCGCCGGTAGAGACACGAGAAATATTCAAGGAAGTAAAAATGAAATAACGCAAAATGGCCAATGACAAGAGAATTGACACAAGGGACACCTGCACTGTCTACTTTATTGTCTCTATCTTTTTGCGCTTATTTATTGTGTACCTAAAATTCACCAGTTGTTGTACGGAACCGCGTTCTCAGAACGCGTTCCTCTTCAGAGGAACGCCGCCGTTCCAGCTTGCATCGGTGGAACTGGAACGAAAACTCGTGACGTACTCGAGAAAATGGCAGGAGGAACGGCGGTTTTTTTTTATTTATATATTTAACTTCAAATTTTCCCGGTTTTATTAGGCGTCAAGGCCTTTTTCATCGTCCATTTCAACCTCCGATTTCGAGGAATATGGAAGTGTCCGAGGGATTATCGAAAACAAAAAAACGGGAACAAATGTGACCGTGGCGACTCGACACGTAGTTCTATTTGAATAGATTCCCTCGATTCATTTATTTTATCTATGAATTATTTAGCACAATATTTCATTAAAAAAAGCAAATGTACAGTTAATTTAACAAAACTTTCCAATCTTACGAATGTGACGGTAGCGTGTTCCTTGCGAACCCCTGGAACTTGTAACGGGAACCCGTTCCACGATTGAGAAGGAAGGAGGAACGTGATTTTATTCCCGTTTTTGAGGAACGTGTACAACAGTGATAATCACCAACTAGCACTTTAGCAAATAGTCGGCAATACACGTTAAAAGGTCCGCGTGCACTCAACCGAGCAGATCCCACTTCATACCGTATGTTTTTGTGTGAACTTTTTCCTCTTAGGTTTTGGACTCTCTGATGAGATGGTCGACGCGAGACAATATTTATGAGTAAATTTTTCATGCGTTTTTCTATGACTAGAGGTCCGTGTTATCGGATAAATCCGAAAAAAAAATCGAAAAACGCTCGTCGTAAAAGTGCCGTGAAGAAAAACTCTGAAATTCGAGGTCACGACATAAATATAAAAATAAAAAAGGCGGTATTTCACAAATACATATTGCGAAAATCTGAGAGGAGCATGTTTGTTTTTTTCAGTCCCGGACCACTGACAAAAATAGGTTTACCTTTTAGCTCGTCAAGGTCCGTTGTCTTGGTCACGACCAAAGCCATTGTTTAGGTTTCTAGACCAGGCCACACTATTTGTGTGCTCCTTAGAGGAACGAGGGGTACTGTCTTTTTTTCTAACAGTGATAGCTATGAACAAGCATATTTCAATGAAGGGAGAGTGCAGCTGAAGCTCCCATACTTCGCAGCGACTACGTCCAGGAGTTTAGCTATTTCAAAGTATCGACTGTTATTGATGCAACTCTTTTTTTCAATATCTGTCGTGGGAGAGTTAGCATTCCAGAAGTAATCCGCCAATGCCAAATGCAGCTGATTAAATAGCATTGAATAAAGGTGAGTTCCGATGAATGTAGAGTACGTTCATGTCCGAACATTTAGTTTTTATTTTAAATTTTGAAAAAAAAAATGGCAACTAAGTAAAATTAAACTTCGAATTTCAGAGAATTGAAAAACTAACAAAAACAAACTCTGATAAGCAAAGTCTTTTTAGCGGAAAATAAAATCCGAAAAACAAGCTCCTAATTTAACGAAAAATGAACTCAGAAAAACGGAATCCTAACTATATTTGATAAGAAATGTATGTCTACCATCAACTTAGAAAAAAAAATTCAAAGGAAGTAATTCGGTGTCAACAATTTTGTTTCTTGTTTCGCAATTAGATACTCGACATCTTTTTATTGCGTAAAGATGCTATGCCGTCGTCCACTCACGGAAAACGAGAGGATTACAACTGACCTTATTCTTTTTTTTTATGCTGCTTTTGTGAGACATATTCGCGCGGTCTCCCATCATGTCTAAAAGAAAATATTCTAGGGTTCATTATTGCTATAAGCAAACAAATAGTAATTTTAGATTAAATGCTTCTATAAGAATGTCTCAACTTTCATCCTAAGTATGAAATATAAGAACGTTCATAGTTTAGTTCCCCACATATAAGTAACAGCCGAAATTCAATTTGGCATTTTGAGGCTCTCAATGTCTATATATTGCGACATGGCATTTGTATTTTTACGTCAATTTTGGGATCATTCTTCGCCAATTAGTATATTTAGAACCTTGTAAATTAAAATGTAAATGATAAATTGAAGTGGAAAGTCTGCATTATCATTCAATATCTTTCTAAATCTTTTACACCGACTGTCCCATTCAGTATATGAAAATGTATCTGAAAACGTGTCGTCCAAAAATAGAAAAAAATGTTTCGATCAATAAATAAAAGAGTTTAAAACACCGTATATAAGTTAGAAAGCAGAATATTCAAAAAACGTGTCTCTTACCAGAGTCGTCATGGTTTTCAGTAGGTTGGTCTCTTTGGAGGCTCTTGGCTGAAGTGTGATATTGCACGTGTGCTTTCGGTGCGCTTGCGTAGTTTTATATAGAAAAAAAAGCCTGGCGGTGGACGGCGAGTTGTCTTCATATTCAGCCACGCGAATGTAAATTTACAATAAAAATTATAAAAAAAGACACGGATTATTATGAAAAGGCAGATATGTAGTCTACACGTATTCTGCAGTAGTTCAAATGTAATTAAAATACAAACACGTTGAGTGGGCTCGGTGACTGTGTTGCGACACAGTCAACTAGTCCACTCGCTTTCACTATGCAGGTGTTTTCCTCCGTCCTCATGCGTGTGCTGCTTCCTGTCCTAGTGTGCCTTCCCGAACGTCTTCTCGGAACCAGTGCCTACGTGCTACGCACGCGACACCCGTGATTCCCATCTGTCCTCCAACTGCGTGACGGCTCGTGTGTCAACTCTCTCGGCCAGACATGTACAGTCAAATAATCCACTCGCTTTCCCTATGCAGGCGTTTTCCTCCGTCATCACACCTGCGCTGCCTCCTACCCTACTGCGCCTTCCCGGGTGTCGCCTCAGAATGTGTGCCTACGGGCTATGCACGCGATACCGGTGACTGCCATCTGTCCTCCCACAGCATGAGGGCTCGTGTGTCAACGTCAACTCCCTCGACCAGACATGTGCGTAACGCGTTACAAGTAACGTGTTACCTCTATCTACCCTTAGCAAAAAGAGGCTGTACAGGAAACATAGTTGAAATATATTGAATATTCATATTAATTTTGTATTCCTTTTGTATTATTTCGTCCACAATCTCGAAATATGCGCGTATGGTATTTTAAGCATATCATAAATATTATTCAGAAAAGATTTCAAATATACCAAAAATATAATTCCTTGGCCCTCAAGATGCCACCTGTGTAATAAAAACCAATTACACGAAACGATTTTTTTCAATTTGGATTTTATTAGTAAAGAGTGTCCCTGTGGTATTTGAAGGTACTACTACATACATCCCACAACTATACATTGGAAACGAACGCAAACACAAACATCATGAAGCATTGAACACCCGAATCACAGTCCCGTTGACTGCTCCAGAGCCCTATATGGTCTACATATTGAAGGTAATCATTTGGCCGATGACCACCTCAGAACTTATTAAGGTTCCAAGTATTCGACCTTTTTCTCGGGAGTCTGCCAAAAAGAAAACAGTGTTTCGAAGTTCGTGGACGATATCTGTTACTAAAAGGCATTGTGTATGTTTGTTTGTTTATTGCTACCAGCATAGAAAAGTTTGGTATTGCGGATGCATCAAAGCCAGCGAGTGGCTTGTGCGACGCCATCCTCCAATAAAAAAAAAAAAAACGATATGTAGCAAGGGTAGTTACTGAAAATACAATAATATAAAACAGACAAAAAAACAAACAAATGCAAACATAATTCCATGAAGTTAGTCACGCTAGTAATAACTTGAAGATTTTACGCGAAAAGATATTATGTAAAGACTAAAACGGAAATCAATAGCAATGTCAAAGCAAAATAAAATACCACAAAACTGGAAAATATGCGAAAAAAAAATCACGGAAGGTCTTCTGTTAAAATGTCCTACAAACAGCAGAATATTCATTAATGTTCTAGAAAGGCAGGCGCTTAAGATTGGCACACATTACTAAGCAAAATGAGTCTGCGATAGTTCGCTACTAAAACGAAACCAATAGTTCGCTATTAAAACGAAATACCTCTAAGCATCTTTTTAACTTTGCTCAGGGATGTTTGGTTTAGAAGTTCAGGTGGTAAGTGAGAAAAAATATATGGCACATAAAACGCACGCGTACTTTCGCCATAACGAGTGCGGGAAAAAGGTATGTGAAAAGGGTGAGTATGTCGAAGATCACGTGTGGGTGGGCTTAAGATTGTGAAATCAGAATTCCAAAAGTGCCGCAATACCACTGAATGAACATAAAGGGTTTGGAAGTTGGGTAGTTGCAAATATTCGAAAAGATTAGCGTTGTCAGGTATTTTAAGTTTATAAGAGATACTTTTCAGGATAGCTCTCAAGATGCAGTCCACCCTGGTTTTCCAATAGTCAGAAGAATGGCCGAAAACGGTGATGGAGTAGCGAAGGACGCTATATGCAAGCGAATGGGCAATCATTCTTCGAACAGATACAGGAAAAAAAGTGTTTTGTATTATATAATAGGCAACTAATGCTTCTTAGTTTTTTACAGATGTATGTAAAATGAACATTCCATTTCAGACCACTATCAAAACATATGCCTAGATACTTCACGCTATCTGTATACTCAACCGGAATGCAGTTGCATTGATGGCAGAAAGAAGAGTGCAGAACTAATGGAATGTTGAGAGTGACTGTTTTGAGTGGATTATAGAAGCATACTAGTTTTGTCTTTTTAACATTAATATCAAGAAGGTTTCTTTTGAACCAGTCCATAATTGCTATTGCTTGAGATTGCAACTGGCTGATGGAATTGGCATAGTTGATGTGTTGGGTCATAATTACAGTGTCGTCCGCGTATTGATATAGCGTACATCCCGGTACCATGGTAGCGATGTCATTGACAAAGATGTTAAACAAAAGAGGTGATAGAATAGACCCCTGTGGTACTCCGGCTTTTAGTTCAGTTCGAGAACTCTGAAATCCAGATGCGCACACCAGTTGAGAGCGATGAGAAAGATAGTTTTTAAGAAGGGAAAAAATGAACCACGAAAACCTATGCTGTACAGTTTCTTCAACAGTATGGTATGGCGTACTGTGTCGAAAGCTTTGGACACATCTAAGAATAGTGCGGAGGTGACAAGATTGTGATCGAATGCTGAGTATAGGTGATCTGCGAAATCTTCTAGAAGAAGCTGAGTGCCCTTTCCTTGCACAAAACCAAATTGAGTTGGAGATAAGATATTAAATTTTTCTAAAAAAGATGTCATTATATTAAACACATGCTTTTCGAGGATCTGAGCGATGATGGGCAAGAGAGAAATCGGACGATAGTTTGCAATATTGTTTCTGGTACAGGGCTAATCACACTTGTCTATAACGCGCGAGCGTGCGGCTTTCTCCGGGGAGCGCTTGACTGGTGACATTCGCGGAAACTAAGCTAGTAACGTGGCGCATCATGGAACGGCCCGCTCGAGGGGTGTCCTGCCCACTCTATCAGCCTGATAAGCGATAAAAGTGAAGTGCTTTATGATATATTTTTGGTTTTTTGATGACGACATCGTTGATACGCCTTCATGCTTTAGTTTGTTTATTGTTCGAGCAATGATGTTTGTAAAAAGCGTGCGAGCAGCATTCCGCGTTCGCCGCCAGCTGATAGAGTGGGCAGGACACCCCTCGAGCGGGCCGTTCCATGTTGCGCCACGTGACTAGCTTACTTTCCGCGAATGCCACCAGTCTAGCGCTCCCCGGAGAAAGCCGCACGCTCGCGCGTTATAGACAAGTGTGATTAGCACTGTACCACCTTTATACAAAGGACGTACTATAGATGTTTCAATTTCATCGGGAAGTATCTTGGTTTCAATAAAACCATTTAGCGTAAATAAAAGTACGTCTTTCAGAATGCCAATATTTCTGCGGAGGTCAGATAGGCGAATTCCGTCTATACCAGGGGACTTCTTGATCTTGAAACTAGACAAAATGGAATATAGATCAGCTTCCTGAAAAGGCGGAAGGAACGCGGAAGAAGAGACTAGGTTATCAAATGCATCTAGGCTATCTCTCGCCTGACCAGAAAAAGTAGCAAAAAAAAACGTTAAAATCTTCTACAATCGATTGCAAATTATCTCCAAAATGTCGTTTCAGTGTATCATCAATGGAGTGTCTTTGGTGTCCTCGGAGTTCATTTATCAAAGATCAAGTTTTACGGGCATCCGAATGAGATTGGGAGAATTTTCTGTGATAAGAAATGCGCTTAGCTGATCGAATCATCGCGTTTACTTTGTTACGGCAGGATTTAAAGAGTATTCGTAGGTGTGTATCATTGGGTGAACGACGGCAGCGAGCCCATAGTGCATTTTTTTCCCTTATCGCATCTAAAATATTCGCATTCAGCCATACAAGATCAGGGTTGCGTTTCTTTACGAATATTTCTCTCCGGCATCTTTCATAGAACTGTTTGAATACCAGCACAAACTTTGGATAAACGTCGGTGTAGTTAACGGTCCTCAAAAAGTGGTTCCAGTCAAAAGCTGAGACCAATTTATCAAAGGCCGTGGTGTCGATACCTGTAACATTTATGCGGCCTGATGTTTCGCGCGATTTAAGAACGCCGATCGACCAGCGGCAGGCCACAAAGTAGTGGTTGGCAAGTTTTTCCTTTATAACTGCTGATTTCACGACAGTCGAAGATGTTCTTAGGTTAATGTGGTCAATGCATGAGGAAACAAGTCTCCCTAAAAGGAATTCTTCACGTGTTGGACAATTAATAACGGACTCAATACCATGAGTTGCCAAAGTGTTGAGGTAGTTGCATACATTAGATTTAGACCCATTCAAGATATCTATATTAAAGTCTCCTATAATGCATAATTGACTATACGAACTCAGATCAGTAATAGTTTCTTCAAATTCTACGAGAAAAGACGCTATATTTGTGGACGGTGGTCTATACATTGCGAGCAAACATATGGAATTGATTGAATTCTCCACAGAAAGGGCAATGAACTCGGCCTGAGCGAACGTCAACGAAATATTTGAAAATGACCATTTATCACTCACGAAAACCGCGATACCACCACCATGACCCATATCTCGAGTGGAAAAAGTACCACGATAACCCGGTAAAGAGAACTGATCTGTTGGAGAAGAGGGGATGTTAATTTCTGTTAAGACAAATACATCTACTGAAGATGCAGTTGCTCTTGAGGTAATTTCAAATTCTGCCCAATGTTTACGTATGCTCCGAATATTAACGTGTACTACAGAAAAAAACGTTTCCTCACAATTTCCAAAAAAATTTTGAAGAGATGAAAAGT